AAAGTCAATGGGAGAAGCCAGGTTTGAGTAAGTATTGAGTGGTTCCCTTAACAACTGCAGTGATTTTTTTTAACAACCGTGGTGAAAAAGGCTGTAAGATCAGGCGCAACTCACTTAACAGCCATCTTGCTTAGCAAAAGAAATTCTGCTCCCAACTGTTGTCATAAGTTGAGGACTACTTGTACTTGATTGGGTTCTGTCAGTTGATTATATACAGTTGATTATATTATATTCTGAAGCTTTAATGACCTACGCCATGTAAAAGTTGAAACCTCCCAAAAAACAGAGTCCTCAGGTCAAGAGAACCAAATTCCTTCCAAGTAATTTGGAAGGAATTGAAGCAAACAAGGGCCTATGAAAAGAAAAATGATGGTTGTTTCATATAAAGCTACTTCATCCCTCCCACAGCCTTCATTACATTCATAGAAGAAAACAATATGTCATGTGCATATTTATAACTTGAAACTTGAACTTCTGAATAATTTCATCTTCTGGTAAAAAAAACACAAGGGGCAGAATGAAATCTTATAGCGCTCAAGGAGCAAAATCGAGTATAGCATCTTGCATTGAACTGCTGGTACAAAAAACCTTCAGATATATCCATTCATTCACATTTGAAATATTTTAAATGTCTCCTCACAGTTATTAAAAGTATTATTTTAGTTGATTTAATTGACAATACATGCTCTCTCTTTCTCTCTCTTGTCATATGACACAAGCTGCTGCCAGTGTGAATTGTGTCATAATGTTTACTGATCTGTTGAGCCTTGAAAACATAAAAGAGAAAAAATTGAGCCATTTAGCCGTTTGTAGTAATGACAATAACAGTGACATTTTAGAACTGGTTCATGCATCCAATTTTATTTCCTTAATGAATAACAGTTTGGTTGTCAAGTTCAATTTTATTTTAAAACTCTTGAGGCACATTATGCTATACCAATAATTGTTTAAATGAAATGAAATATAATTTATTCAGAATATTTATATCTTGCCTACTGCCCAAAGGTCTTAAGCTTGCATAGTATAGGTTTAATATTCATCAAAATGGATGAGTTGCTAGTGATGAAAAAAAAACAAAACCTGAATATGAAAGTTCCCCAGTCCTCAAATCCTTTTATTGTTATTCCACAGCTGATCCTTGAGGCCATAAATGGTCCTAGATGAAATTACATAGAACAGGAGCTAATGGACTCAAGGTGTTCTAGAGCTTTTCTCTGGGAAATTAATGCTTTTGTCCTATTCAGTCACATCACTTGGTTCTCTGAATTAAAATCTGTCACTGGAATCTTTGTCAAGTATTGTTATCTCAAAAAACTTAGGTTCTTTCATTTCAGTGATCACTTTATTTTGATTCGGTTTCCTCCTCCTCCTCCTCCTCCTCCTCCTCCTCCTCCTCCTCCTCCTCCTCCTCCTCCTCCTCCTCCATCTCCATGTTAAATGCATTCCCAAGCCCTTTGGAACAGCCTCCCATCTGGAGATCTGAGGGGTCCATACCTCTTTAGGCTTCTAGAGGACGCTGAAGATCTAGCCCCATGATGGCAAACCTATGGCACGTGTGCCACAGGTGGCACGCAGCGCCCTCTCTGTGGGCATGCAAGCCGTCACCCCAGTTCAGCTCCACTGCACATGCATGTGCGCCTCCCACCAATCAGCTGATTGTCTGGTCTCTGCTGTGCATGCATGGGGTGGGGCGTGTGCAGGAGGGGCCGTACACACATGCATGGGGGGTGAGGAATGTGCTGGGGCTACATGCGCGGGGGCAGGGCGCATGCGGGGAGGCCGTGCGTGCATGGGCAGGGTGCAGGGGCGGGGGCCATGTGCGCAGGGGCGGGGCGCATGCATACGCACTTTGGGCACTTGGTCCAGAAAAGGTTAGCCATCACTGATCTAACCCTTCCACCAAGCATTGGGCAGGATAGAGGTTGAGCTAGGAGGATATTTGGTCTGTGCTTAGGGGAAATGGTACCTTTGTTTTTAGCTATGTTTTATGGATTGTTGCATTTTGTTGCCGGTACCTAAAATCATTACATGGGATAGATGGTCATATAGGTCCCCTCCCTCCCTCCCTCCGTCCCTCCCCTCCTGAAATTTTATCCTAATACATAAGGTTGTTTACTTTTTCTTGTTAATCATTATCAAATAGTGTCAACAAAATTTGAAATTATATTTTATGCGAAAGCTCTTTTCTTATCCTTATTTAATAAGTTCTCTCTAGATATTTTACTTCTATTTCATGTAATAAGGTAGGCATCTTCTATAAATCTTAATCCAGTGAAGGGAAAAAGCCCAGCCTGTACCGCTCCTGACTGGAACTGCCTATGGACTCAGGACTGGCTAGGTTTAAAGGCTGCTCTGGGGAAAGAGCAGGGGTGGGGGTTAGAGGAAAGGAGGAAGGCAGATAGCAGATACCAAAGGATGATGACAAAGAGAAGTCTGCAGAGGAAGCACTGGAAATTGCCCAGGTCAAGGCCTGTATAAGCAGACTTCCTCACCCTTCTTTGCTGCCTGGTTGGAACCCCATCCTCATTTACCAGGCATTAAATAGAGCTTGTTCCAGTGGTGGAATTCAGTTTTTTTACTACTGGTTCTGTGGGCGTGGCTTGGTAGGCGTGGCAGGGGAAGGATACTGCAAAATCTCCATTCCCACCCTACTCTGGGGCCAGCCAGAGGTGGTATTTGCTAGTTCTCCGAACTACTCAAAATTTCCGTTACCGGTTCTCCAGAACCTGTCAGAACCTGCTCAATTTCACCCCTGGCTGGTTCCCTTATTGGAATTACTTCAGTTCTCGGAGGCTGGGACTCGAATACTTGTTCTTAAACTGCTGTTGCCTGTCCCAGTTTTCTGCCTTGGTTTTGATATTTTATTTTGATTTTATTTTTTGAATATTTTTTTTGAGTTCTTAGATTGGGTTGCTGACATTCCAAAGCAGGGGTGGGCCAACCTAATGCTGGGTCAGGAATTTTGGGAGTTGAAGTCCACGGGTCGTAAAGGGGCCATGGTTGCCCACCTCTGCTCCAAAGAGACTGTCTATGTTTTCAGCTCCTTAAATGCTTAAGGGTCTGGGAAGAATAATCTGCAGCACATTTGTTTGCTGTTGTTTGTGGTTCATATCCCTATCTCTCCATCTGTGAGGGACTTTGCCATATTTAGATCTGGATATTTTGCTTAAGTGCTTCTTACAGCTTTTTGTTTGGTGACTTATGAGTCAGTATTGATTCCTGGTGACTGCTTAGACAAGTCCCTGCATTTTTCTTGGTGAGATTTTCAAAAGTGTCTTGCTCTTGCTTTCTTCCTAGAGCTGAGATGGAGAAACTAGCCTAAAGTCACACAGCAGCTTTGTGCCTAAACTGGGACTAGAACTCACAAACTCCTGATTTCTAGCCTGAGGCCTTCACCCCTAGACCAAGCATGATTAATTTATTAGTGTGACCACTGACACTTACGTTTCCCTCTTCAAATGCAACCACGGATCTCTACTTCACTAGAAGCACGAATGTAAAACCTTAAAGTTAAAAGTAATTTTAACTTTTCCATTTGTGCATATAGTGAAATAGAGATCCATGGCTGCATTTGAACAGGGAAACATAAGTGTTAGTGGTCAAGATAATAAATTTGAATGCATAATATTATATAAATGTTTCCAGTAATTAAATGAATAAAATTGTAGGACTGTGTTTATCAAGAGCACATCATGTGGCTTATCTGTAGTTCCAGTTACAAAGTAAGGCCTATGGATGGGATCCTTATTCTTGAAGTAGAACCAACTGAAACTATCAGAACAAAACTGGGTAAACAAATAAACAACGATTTGACTAAGTACCTAAAGAAATGTCTCCAGCGCAATCTGTCTGCTGGCAGAACAGGTTCCCCTCCCTTTTCTCTCAGCCCGGGGTGTTCTGGAGGCCAGGGAGAACATTAAAACCAGAATTGGGATAAAGAGGAGCAAGAGGAAATCTGTTTGGGTGACATGGGATGTAGTAGTTCAAGAGAATCTGTTTCACTGAAATCTGTTGAATAATTCATATAAATTATTTTTTGGTATTTTACACAAGTTTGGGACATTTGTCACTGTGCATGGGTTTTTTGTGTGTTTATAAATGAAATTTTTCTCATGGTACTATCAAAAGTAAGAACATATGGACCATTTCCTCCCTTCTTTATGACCGTAGAGAATATTCACCCTGCTTCTTTACACAATTTCTATTTAGCAAATTCTCTCTATATCATAGCAAAAAATTATAACGTGCTGCTTCATGAAATTATGTGCATGATATAGTCTGATAAATCAATAGAATTCAATAAAAATCAGCTGAAAAAAGCACTTAGTTGCATCCTCTGCTGTGCAGTTGTGATTTTAGAATGTATATTTTACTATTCGAAAGAATGAAGCAATCAAACGAGTCAAATGGAATACAGCAGGTTCCTTATTCTAATGCCTCAGTAATGCAGTCCTAATGTGAAACCTGTATGTTTACTACAGTGTATACATTTCTAAAGGGAATTTTAAAGAAGTTAAATATAAATGTTTTAAAAAGAATAATGAACATTTTCAGGCATTGGGTTATTGGTGGTTCTATATACATGGTTATTACCTGCTTTGGGGGTTTTTTCCCAGACGTTTATAAGCTATAAAAATTGTGCTCTTGGTAATTCATCAACACTTTTAAAAGTTTAGCTTTTATTTAAAAGTGCAGTATTCCATTTCTTACATTATGTTACTATGGTTTAAATGACATACATTTTAGACATTTAAATGCGTGCATCAATTGGCTACTTTTAGAATACAGGCTGAAGTTCCACAGTAGAGAATGAAAATGTTCAACATTATTAAGTTCAATACTACACCTTAAATTTCTAATAAATGAAATATAATTCTGTATATATATATATATATATTTGGAGGATATATGCTATAGTGTCACTTATTAAATTCCACAAAGTATCTTTCAAAAAATATTTTTCTTTTCCATTTTTTTCTTTTTCTTTTGTTTTCAACTAGGACCCCTACTATGGCTGGTGGCTTATTTTCTATTGACAGAAACTACTTTGAAGAGATAGGAACATACGATGCAGGAATGGATATCTGGGGTGGAGAAAATCTTGAAATGTCTTTTAGGGTAATTTTCCATTTTATTTCCTTTTGTAATAACTGGCAGATTTTCTGTAAAAAAATGTTAACGTTTTAAGATAGGGATGTTTTAATTTTGTTTATCTTAAATGAAATCTTTACTTTGTCTTGAAATTAGGAAGATAATCCAAATGGAAAGCTTCTTCAATGGAGGGCTTCATTCAGCAAAACTTAATCAGGGCAAATTCACTTATTATTCAGCTTCCTTTTTCTCTGCTGTTTCTGGATTCCCATTGAATAAGGAATTCTCTTACTTTCTGTTGCTGAGTGAAACCTTCTGTTCATGGATTGATTTGAGCTGAATTTCAACCTTCAGTTTTAGTGCCATGTTTTTTTTCACACATCACATGAAGCCTTGAGTACCAGAAAATTGTATGATGTAGATTAGAGGCCCATGTCATTATTAACCATATCTGGCTCTGTGTTGCATAAGCCCATTTGTTACTTAATTTCATGACTTCTCAGCAAGTGGGAGCAAATGAGGTTTAGCATGGAATATCCATGACCATCATCAGATTAGGGATTAAATTCACATAATGTAGGTGTCCCATAATATGTGTATTTCTTTTATGCTGCCTTTGAAACAGTCCCATTTTGCTTTCTTCCATTGTTATATACTTGTGGTCCTTGGCACTCTCTAAGCTTGGTTGTTTCCTTGCCGATGTTTCATTACCAAACTAGGTAACATCATCAGAATGCTATCTGCAAGAAATGCCAACCAAACCAAACCAAGCCAAACTCAAGAGAGTACCAAGGACCCCACAATTCAACCCAGAGCTACAAATATTCTCTTCTATTGATATATGCCTTTTTCTCTAAAATTTTCAAAAGCATATATATCATTTCTCATGCCAATTTCCTAAATATCTGCTGATTTTTCTTTGAATGTTTTCCTAAATGTATACTAAATTTATATATGGAGCTGAGATAATTTCTTTGCTAAGAAGATTTCATTTACTGCTGTTGTGCATGCTGAAATAAAGGAAATCTTTTATGGATTACTTTCCCAACATTGGGATGAGAGTCAGATTGTTGGGGAGACCTAGATTTAAGTTTTCCATCAGCCATGGAAGTTCTGTATTTGGGATTATTTTATTTATTTATTTATTTATTAAACTTATACAGATTACCTACTTTGTCAGTCTGCTCTACCTCAACCTGATTATGGGGAAAACAGAAGAAAGGAATGTTAATACATGGCTTGATCTCCTTGGAGGATAGGCACCGTATACATTTAACAAGCAAAAGAAACAATAAATAACATAAAATGCACATGCACATGCATTTATTTAACTGCTCATTTGTTTTCTTATATATATAATTTATTCATGTGGCTTAAAAAACATTCTTGGTACTGGAAGGCAAAATTTCCAAATGATTTGTCATGTACTTAGTGTAACATCCTTAAATTGTGCTTTAGGGATAGAAATTATATTTCCAAACGACTGAGTTTGGAGCCAACTATTTCAGGCATCTATAAAGCCTATGACGTAAATGAAATGATGGAAATTTCTTGAGTTTCTAGGTAATCTTAAATAAATTAGAAAATTGATCTTAAAATGAGTGTAAGAGGAAATAATGTACACTAATAAATGATGGACTATAGATATTTATGCTACAGTGTTTAAAAGACCCTTATTTTCATAATGACTCATCGGATAAAGCAATTAGCTCTCAAGCGTGCTGCCCATGACTTGCCACTTCTTATAATATTCTCATTCTTTTATTTTATCAAAAAGAAGTATATAGAATGCAGAGTGCACCCATTTATATTTCTGGTGAATATAAAGTGAAGAATGCACAGGCCCAGTTTCTCCATTATTTTTAGACTAGAAGTCATAAAATGGGTGAACGTGTGAAACTCATTGCATATGGTATATCAAAGAGCTATTTTGACTCTTAGACGCAATCAACTGATTGGGGATTCTTAGGGAATTCTATTTGGTGCATTGTAATTTAAAATGATGCGATCTATTCACTCCAGACTACTCTACAGATTGGAGCATAATTGTGCTATTGTTTGTGAATGTTGTGCATTTCCCCCCCTTTTTTAGTAGCATCACTTTGTTAACTGGAGCACTGAGCCAGATTGATCCAAGTAAGAGATTGAAATATCCACGCAAAAAAAAAAAAAAGACAATTTTCATAAGAAAATATGTGAAAGACTATCCACCTATCTTGCTTTGCAGCCATCTTTTCTCCATGTTATAGGATTCTCTGTGTGACCTCTATTATGGTCTGAATAGGAGAAACACATTTAGATTCAACCCTAAGTAGATGGAGAGACTGTTGATTTAGAAGCTTTCATATTCCAGAAGAAATTTATCTTTGATGCTATACAAAATGTCTATGGAGCAGCCTAACACTTTGCGGCTGTCCTGGATCATAGCTCCTATCGAAAGAGCAGATAGAGACTGTCACAGGAGATCCTTTGCACAGCTTTAGTTGTGTGCTAGTTTTTGGCCTTTTTTGGAACAAGAGTCTTTATTGGAAGTCACTCATGCCTTTGTCACTTCAGTGTAGATTAATGAAATTTAGTGTACACTGAACTTCAGGAGGACCATTTGAGGACCATTTGAAAGCTGCAGAATGCAGCTGCATGCATGATGATGAATAGTATCTTACCTACCATGTTTCCCTGAAAATAAAACCCTGTCTTATATTTTTTTGAACCCTGAAATAAGTGTTTGGCCTTATTTTTGGGGAGCTCTTATTATTTTGGGGCATGTGGAACAAGATGGGGCTCCTCTTGCCATCTTACCTGATTTACAGCTCTGTCTCCCTAACCCTAACCAGAGGAAATGGCGGGGACCAGCTGCACATGCGTTTAAGTATTTTTGGGGAGGGCTTATTTTCAGGGGAGGACTTATTTTCAGGGGAGGGCTTATTTTTGGGGAAACACGGTATCCATGTGTTTACTATTGTAGGAGTTGTGTTGGTTACTGATAAGCTTCTGGATACAATTCGAGGTGCTGATTATGATCTATAATGACCTTTATGGCTTTGGATCACGTTATCTATCAGGTTGCCTGCTCAGGTGTGCCTCTGCTTCTCAGGAGTGTCAATGAGAGGGGAGCTTTTTCTATCATGGCCCCTCCTCCTCTGCCTCTGGAATTAAAAGTACTTCAGAAGATAATAAAGACTTGACTCTTCTATGTATCGTTTGGGAATAAAATAGGAATATGAATCTAGCTGTTTCTAAAATGGATTAGAGGGTGCCAAGTGTATTGGGTTTTATTTAATTTGAACTGTTTAAACCTAATTGCTATATTGGGAAATTTTTAGCTACTTAAGAGTTTCTACCTGAACGAGCATATAAGCAGGGGGAAATTAAAAAAAAAAAAAGGCAGACTTGAGAAAATGAGTGATCGCAATCACCTGCAAACCTTTTTCTTCTCATGGAAGAAATGTCTTTTTCTGTGAGCAGGAGGGGTATAGGGCGATTGGTCTGTTCATCCTACAGAAGTTCTCTGAAACCCTTTCTGTTTGAGTTGTGAGCACTCAGGAGGCATTTTGGAATACTGGGTTTCTTATCTGTAAATGGAGATAAAAGTCTTTAATTACTGTTTGGGGGACTTGGGTTTTGAAATTTCAATAGAGAGGCACAGCTTGAGAAGGAGGAGTTGCCTGGCCAGGTGAGACATACATAGGCCATATTTGCCCTGTTCATCAGAGGTTTCCTCTATCTTTCATAAGGATCTTTGACACAGACATTCAAGGGAATAATTATTTTTGCAAGCATACCATACATGCTAATTAAAAAAAAACTAGCCTATCTTAATATCCATACTAAAAAAGCCTGCTTCTCTTTACACTCCCAGCATTATCCCACCCTCCATAAGGGGTGGCCACTCAAGCAACAGTTAGAGAGTTCATTCATTGCCCAGTACAACCCCAAATTCTATAAGCTGTGGCTGATAAAGCCTAGGGATACTTTCCACTCACTCTGATTATATGTATTTAACTTGCTCCTGATTAGCAGCTGTTTTATATTTGGTTGATATTGCACGTATCCTAATTTTGGGCTTCTCAAGAGATTTCTGGTTGCTCCTGGAGGAACAGGAAGCTGTAGTAGATAGCATTTTGGCTAAGGAATCTTCTTACAAACTTATATGTCTTATACATTTAACATGCATATAATATTGATGTAAAAATTATATTATTTCTATGATTTAACTGCTTGATAGTATGATCCTGCAATATAACAATATATTATTGTTATAACAATAACAGTATTATTGTGAGATACAAGCTATTGCTCTGTATTTAAAAAAAATATTTTGGACTTCTTTAGCTACACCATTATTCAATTTTTTAAAGAATTGACCAAACACACTTGGATTTTTTCTCCCATTTGACTTCCCTTCTTCCCTTTAATGATTATCTGAGGTAAAAAAAAAAAGTCTGTCTTTTTTACTAAAATGCACCTATTACATGATAGAACAGGAAAGAATAGCATTAAAAGACTCCAGAGGTAATTTAGCATGGCACAGCTTTGAATCAAATCATAATCATATTTCTGCATGAAGGTATGTAAAGTAAATTGCTTAACGACTGCCCAAATCACACAAAAGCAGACAACTGAGCTTTCCATTTCCAGGAGCTGAAGTGGCTTGACTCTTAAGTCCGCCTTATTATATCCTTACTAATCTAATATTCATATCAGACATTTTTTTAAAAACTCTCTCTACAGAAGATTGTAGAAATTCTCTGCTCTATCATTCACATGGAAGTCAAAAGCCCTTTTAGGGGTTGTATACAGGTAGTCCTCGACTTACAAAATTACAATGGCACCGAAACAGTGACTTATGACTATTTTTCACACTTATGACCATTGCAGCATTCCCATGGCCACGTGATTTACATTCAGATGCTTGACAATTAACTCACATTTATGATGGTTGCAGTGTCCTAGAGTCATGCACAAGCAAAGTCAATGGGGAAGCCAGAGGCACTTAACAACCATGTTACTAATTTAAGAACTGCAGT